ACCCCAAAAACATATAATAAACATGGTCTGATCCCCAGGCCAAAGAAATTTTTTTTTTGTGTGGCTGTGTTATCGATTATTATTGATTAAAAGAAATTTATTGTTCTGACCCACGAGGCAAGAGGGGAAGCGGNAGCACCGCGCGAGGGGGATCATTGNAAGCATATTCGTAATATTGAGAGCAGGATCGGAGGACTTGGGCGTTGCGAATGAGATAACGTAGGAGTGTGGATGNTGTCGGCGGAGCGTTATTATCGGCTTTACCGGAACTAGCCAATTAGCAACGAGCCGTAAAAATGGAGCATCCATTATTCGGCGTGTTTTATTTATTTCAGGTAAGTGAGCGTTATTCNTGGCGTCAACGATTTTAACGTGTTCGAACGTGTTCAAGGTCATTCGGCGCGGGCGCGGACGTGTTCGTGCGTGTTTGTGCGTGTTCGAACTGGTCCGTGCGTGTTCAAGGTCATTTGGATGATGACGTCATTGCTAAATTAATGTTACCTCTCAATTAGGATTTTAAATTGCACAGTAAAATAAATAATTCCAAGAAAACCCGCAAGGATGATGACGTCATTGCTAAAAATAGAACTCGAATAGGTCCGTGCGTGTTCAAGGTCGTTCGGATAATGACGTCATTGCTAAAATAATGTTACCTCTTAATTAGATTTTTTAATTGCGCAGTAAAATAAATAGTTCCAAGAAAAACCGTAACATTCCGAAAGTGCGTGTTTTCTTATCGCCGAAGCGATCAGGCACTTCCGGTTTGATGAATCATTTCCTGCAATAACAACTGCGTAAAAAACCGTTAAGTACCGGATGTGGTTTTTTAACGGTTTTTTAAATTTAAAATTTTAAATCTAATAATCTATATATCTTTAATTGTTTAAATCTAAAGATCGCGAGGAAGATAAGGAGCAAAACAAGGACTATTGGTTAAAAACGTGTTTACAATTAAAAAAAGGTTTTAATGAGAAAGCATATGTGAGTAGGAAATGTGAAATAGAAAACACTGTGTTATTGAAGAACAGAGAATTTATTATTTTGTTCTGTAAAAATAAAATTACATATATGAAAGTGAAGCAAAAAAAATAATAATATTTATTAAGGCACACCGCCGTAACATACAGCTAACAGTTCTCAATTGACAATATCGTTGACGTCGAAGTCACCGCTCTGTTTTGGTTACATGCAGCGCCTTATATATATTCCAAGGATAAATGAAGAAAATCNTCCCACTCTTCTACACACAGTATATCTACCCAGAATAAAGAGCGTGTTCGTACTTTTCGAGTTGAGAAACTANGNACTTTAAGTTGTATAANATGTTTATATCCGGACAGTGGATATCAATTAATCTCATATTGAAAGGTCCCGCAGAGTGCATAAAATTGATGAATTCGTTGAACGCAAGATATCTGTCAGAGTACAGAAAGTACACATGGCCATCTGAATTACGGAAGGCTAGCGACATACTTGACAGAACTCCTGGAAACGTCAGTTTCAATTTGCTGTATTCTTTAATTCTCAAGTGACAATCGTCTACAACGGTCACGAATCGTTGTTGAAAATGATGTAGGTGTGCCCCGTAGGAGATTGAAACGCAGTGTTAATGACAGCATCGCTAGGCAACCCAATCTCAGAGAAACTGNGCGGCCAACCGTTTTGCAATTGTAAACTGGGATAGGAAACCAAGTACACGTAACCATCGGCGAAGAGCACGAGCTTGCCGGATNGTTGTTGATAAACCGCATCCAACTTTGTAAAATTGGATGGGAGAAAGCGCAAGTATTCTATCAACAGACGTGGATAAAAATGCGGACCCCAGTTNGCAGAGGCTATATACACGTATTTATCTTTTGTAATGAACGTAATGGTGGTTGTTAAAAGTACTGCGTCGGGATTNCGCACCTCGCACGCGTTCTTAGGTGACGGTAGAGGTTTGAGTTTACGCGGCAGCGACGGCGGCAGCAGCGTCGTCGTCGTTGTTGTTGGCGGTGCAATCGTCAGAAAGACAAATGTAGAGACCGGTGGTAGTTCAGGTGCATCCGGGTTAGGTCCATAACGGTTTTGCACAGCCAGAACATCATCCAGGCTGAGCGTAACAGACCACTGTTTAACAGGCACGAACGCGTACATTACCGAATCGTCGTGTGGACTGTGCTCTATTCCTATCGCATGTCCGATCTCATGAGTCAGCGTGTGCAACAGATGATTATTCCATAGATTTTCAGTGAGCTGCACGTGCCACTGTTCCTCATTGTCAATATGTACCTCAGATACATGTTCGATATTTCCGTTGGGATAATACGCGTGAGCGAGTACTCCATCTCGACCATCAAAGTCAAACGGACACAAAGTATCTTAGTAATGCTTGTCACATAGTGTGCTGTCCACNTTTATACAAAATCACTAGATTAGGATTGTGCATGCTGCGTGTAAACGTCAGCAAAGAATTCGCTGTCCACAGCGCGAACGCTGCCTCCGCTACTTGTAGATTCGCTCTAGAGGCGAACAGAAAGTTCCATGTAAGATGATTCGTCGANCACTTGTATATGTGCTCCTTGTTCGAGTGACGCGTCTCGATGTCTCGAACTCCGCAACGCGGTTTTTTCATTGCGCGCACCGTTTCTGTGTTTAATTCACCATCTATGGGTAGATTATAGAATTTTTGAAAAAGCGAGACAGCGTGATTCAACGCGCTCTCGGATATCAACGAGTTATCCACGTTGTCCTCTAGGTAACCGTACTTGCGTAGGAACGCAATAGCGGTCTCTCTTTTATCGACAACGCTTCTCTTCGTCGTCGTATTCGTCATCGAC